TATTGCATTTTGTGGTTGCGATTCCATAGTTGGTTCATTTGATCTGTAGGTATTATTGTGCCCATTTTACAGCTGAAGAAACTGAGGCTCAGAAAAATTAAGCAAGATGAATGAGACCATGGCACATTCTTGATTCAGTAAATGGACCAGTATAGTAGGAGTGTCAGGTATATGGAGGAGAGTAGAGAGCGGGTTGGAGTGGAAGATGGGAATCAGATTGTGGAGGTCCTTGAATATCAGGCTAAACAATTTGGAATTTTTTTCCTATGGATGGAGGGGAGCTCTTTCACTGTTGCTCAAATGCAGTCATTTCCTATGTGGGGAAATGCTGGTGGTGGCTGGGAGCTGATCATAGCTGAAGCTTGTTCAGAATATCCAGGGGGATGAGTTTAGGCATAGAGGGTGGATAAGGTATAGATAGAGCGGGTGTGAGTTTAGAAAACAGGGTTTTTGACTGTCTACATCATTACCATCCCCCATCCCCACCATCAATTGTCTCCCCTTGGACTTCTGTGACTAACATTTTTACCATCCCCACCTGTCTGTACTTCTCTCTGCTCCCCTTCAGCCAGCTTCCTTTGGTGCTTTGTCCTTCCCTAACAGATTGTAAGCTCCTTGAGGGCAAGGGCCATCTTGATCTTTCTGTACTTGTATCCCCAGCACAGTGCTAAGCACATAGTAGGTACTTAATAAATGTTTAGTGACTGACACCCTCCTCCTCACCAACCTCATCAGTCATTGACCATTAGCATCATGGAGTAGTGACGGTGTCCCGACCAAGAATAAGGAATCAAGGAGGGGCATCTGGTTTCGAGTTTGGGAAAGGAAATGGTCAATCTGGTTTTAAATGTGAATTTGAGATGATGCCAGGACATCAATATGGGCAATATGGATCTGGCTGGAGCCCAGGAGAGACAAGCCCACAAGACCCACACAGAATCTTAAATTTAGAGATGGAAGGACCTCAGATGACATCTAGGCAGAAGATTCCCTCCTTGAAAAGGCCCTTTGTGGCCACTGACTCTAAGCCCCTCATTTCACAGAGGAGGCAGCTGAGCCTCAGAGGAGTGACATGACTGATGCTTAGTACCCAAAGATGGGATTTGAATGCAACTCTTTCCCCAACACTCTCTGCTGCACCATACTATGTCGCACGCTCATTCCATCAATCGACATTGATTCCTATGGCCAAGAGTTGCCGAAGTGCTAGGGATACAGAGACAATCAAAGGCTGCTTTTGGGGAGAAGGTGAGGTGGGTAGGTAAATGCATAGAGATTCCTGGGACCAGGAATCTCTATGCAACTGGGGGCAGTAGAAAAGGGTTCACATTGGGAGTGACGCTTGAACTATGGAAATGTTGTTCGGTTGCTTCAGTTGTGACCCACTCTTCATGATCCCTTCTGGGGTTTTCTTTCTTTTTTTTTTAGGTTTATTTTTTATGAATTTATTTTAAACTTAAATACCAAAATGTAAATACACAATAAGAAAAGGAAAAGAAACTATAAACTTAAATACAAAATAAGAAAAGGAAAAAAGCATTGTCATGTGCACAGCAGAAAGTAAGAGAGGATTCAATATACACAGCAATAAATTTCCATTTCCAGAAAGCCTGTGTAATACATACTACACGTTGTGCTCTGAGCTGTCTGTCCCTTCTTTGCTTCCTTTTAAGTTTTCTTTTGTTCTCTTGCGGTCCATTTTTTACTTTGTTCTTTTTTCCCCTTCTTCCCCCCCAGAAGGCTACAATTAAGCTCATACACACATATACACACAAACATATATATACACATACATACATGTACTTACACACATACATATACTTGGATATCTATAATCATACTCATATATAGATACATACATTCACATGCATCTACGTAAGACCTTACTGTACTCGTTTCTCCTCTGTTTCTCTGAGGGTGGATAACGTCTTCCTTCATAAGTCCAAGTCTTTCCATATTTCTCTAAGTCCACCAACCCGTTATTTCCTAAACCACAGCAATATTCCAACCTTATACTGTCTGGTTATTTTAAATAGTCTAAAACAATATTGATTAATATGGATGACACATAATGTGGTTTCCCTATTTTTCTCTTTTGATTAAATCTATTTTAGCTTTAACTTTGTCTGAGATCATGGTTACTACCCTGGGATTTTCTTGGCAGAGATACTGGAGCGGTTTGCCATTTCTTTCTCCAGCTCATTTTGCAGATGAAGAAACTGAGGCTAACAGGGTGAAGTGACTTGCCCAAGGTCACAAAACTAGTAAGTATCTGAGGCCAGATTTGAACTCAGGTCTTCCTGATTTTTAGACTTGGCACTCTATCCACAGTGCCACCTAGCTGCCCAGGGAAACCAGCCCATAGAAAGCATGGAGGCAGGAGACAGAGCCAAGTATGAGGAACCGCCTGAAGACCAGCGTGACTGGATCAGAGAGCGTGTGAAGGAGTCACAGGCAGGCCTGGGACAGTATTTGGAAGCACAAAAGTGTGCACACCTTCTGATCCAGAAGTGCCACTGCTAGGCAGACACCCTCACAAGGTCGGGGACTGAGGGAAAGGATTCCTTTGTCCCACAAAATTTATTGCAGCAAAATACTAGAAACAAAGGAAGTGGCATCGGTTGGGGATCAACGACCAGACTGTGATACCTGAATGGAATGGGACATTACCGAATTGCAATCTCCCCTTCCCCTCCCCTCTCGTCTTCCTCCTCGCCAGCTGCCTTCACAGCCTGGGCAAAGCCTCCGCCCTCCTGATTTGTGACCACCTGCCCCAACAACCGTTTCAGCAGGAGTTCCTGCACACCTCCCTTCATTCATGACTGTCCAGATGTATCTATCTCTTCCTGCCCCTCTTTCTCCCCATCCCCTCTCCCCCTCCCCTCCTGCCCCTTTCCCTCCCCATCCCTGGCTGCCACATTGACCCAACACAGGGACTCTTCCTCTGCTCTCCCCCAGCTTTCCAGCCTCCAAGTATTCATTGCCTGACGTGTGTGTGTGTGTGTGTGTGTGTGTGTGCGTGTGTGTGTGTGTGCGTGTGTGTGTGTGTGTGTAGCAGAGGGGAACCCCAGTCTTCCTTGGTTTCTGTCTTTCTATCCATAATAGCCCTGCCTGCCTCTCAGAGCACGCCCTCATAGACACAGTAAATATGCTGAACTGGACTGGACTGAACCAAACTGGGCTGAATAGAACTGAACGGAACCAAGTCATCCATGTTCAGGAGTGGGGGGCTGGGGAAAGGAGCAGCCAGTCCTTCCAGCCTGCCCTTTCAGGGTTACTTCCCCCCCAGGGGGGGGCCCCCCCCCCCCCCCCCGCCCCCAGCTGTGGCCACGCCCACCCCAGTCCCATAGCCAGCTTCCTCTTCCCTGTTCTCTGCCTCCCACAGAGCTGCTGCGGTTTTTTTAATTATTATTTTTAACACACATTTTTCAAAATTATGAGTTCCAAATTCTCTCCCTCCCTTCTGTCCCTCCCCTCTCCATCGAGAAAGCAAGCAACACACCAATTATACATGTGACGTCAGGTAAAATGTATTTCCATGTCAGCCCAAAATGAGAAAACTGAGGACTGGGGAAGTTAAGTGACTTGCTCAGGGTCACACAGGCAGAATCACAGGATTTTAGATGTAAAGCTGGAAGGAGCCTTAGAGGTCAACTAGTGCAACCTCCTCATTTACAAGTGAGGAAAGTGAGGCCCAGAGAGGTTTTATGACTTGCCAAAAGTCACACAGCATTAAGCAGGAGAGCTGGGATTAGAACTCAGGGCTCATCCTACTACGAGATGGCAGAAGCCTAGATTTCAAGGTAAAGGAAACACAGCTACCCTTGACCTTTTTTTTTTTGCTTTTTGCGTTTTGGTGAGGCAATTGGGGTTGAGTGACTTGCCCAGGGTCACACAGCTAGTAAGTATCAAGTGTCTGAGGCTAGATTTGAACTCAGGTCCTCCTGATTCCAAGACTGAAGTTCTATTTACTGTGCCCCCTAGCTACTCCCACCCTTGACTCTATGCAAGCATTTCGCAGTCATTGTCTCATGTCAGGACAGCCTATGAGGGAAGGACTCAAGGTGTTATTATCCCCATTTTACAAGTGAGAAAACTGAGACCCAGAGAATGAAGTGACACGGCAGGGCAGAGTCAGGATTTGAACCCAGGTCCTAGGATTTCTGATCAAATTTTCATCCCATGATGTCCTAAGGTCAGAGAAGATGAGAAACAAAGGTCCCTGCAGCAGCACCTGCAGATCTCCTGTCCTGTGTCTGCAAAAGATCCCTCGGCTGGAAGTGAGAGGGGCTCAGCCCCCGGTGTGGGCCCACAAGTGCATCATGTCCTCTCATCTGTAGAAGAAGGGGGTAGGGTGGTTCTGGCCTAGATAAGCCTTCAAGTTCCCTCCAGTTCTGAGATTCTGTCTTATGTTCTAAGGTCTTTGATATTCTAAGGTCCCTCTATGCTCTACTATTCCAACCCAGCCAGGCTGCGTTCTGTGGTCGAAGTCAGTCAATCAGTTAAAAATTTTTTTATAAAGTACCTACTATGTTCCTGGCACTGGGGGTGGGGGTGGGGGAGGAACAAAGACAACGAACGAAGCACATTACCTCCTACAGTCCTTGTTCTATGGTCTGTGTCTCCAGTCCCAGATGTTTTATGTTCTAAGTCTCATTCAGCTCCGACATTGGTTTTTTCCTAGAAGCCCTCCCATTTATAGATAGAATGCCCCAGATAGAAGGGAGATCATACAGTGTCAGAGCTGAAAGAAACCTAGAACACAGATCTTCTGAGTTAGGAGGGGCCATACAAGGACTGTGGAGATAATGTGCTTCATTCTCTGTCCTAGCCCAGTGCCAAGCACAGAGTTGGTGTGTAAGAAATACTTGTTGATTGATTACTTTAGAACAAAGAGCACAGCCTGTCTGGGTTGGAATATTAGAGGATCTTATAACAAAGAATGTCAGGACCAGGAGAGATGAATGAATGAGTGAATGAATGAATGAATGTACCAAAAGTATTTACTAAGCATTTACTATGTGCCAACCACTGTGTTAATCACTGGGGACATAATTATAAAAAAGCCTGGAAAGGTGACATAGGATAGTCAACTGACATGCCCTTTTTGGAGGAGACAATAGTGTTGATTTAATTACTGTCCCACAGCAAGAGTTGGGAAGGGGCAGGGCCAGGGTATTTGTGCAATGCTGTACCAGGAAGATGTCAGTGAAGTGGCGGGAGTTGACTAGACATAGTGAGCTCTCACTGATCAGGACAGCCTGACTCTAGAGACAAGGGAGGGGACGGTGGCTAAGGCAGCGACAGGGTAGGAGGGCAGGAAGAACTCAGTGAAACGTGGGCATGAGAGGGTCAGCTCCAGACTATTGCAGGTGAGAGCCGCCCCTCAGTTCTGGGTCTGTAATTAAAGGGCCCATTTGCGGGGTCTGTCCTAATGCTCTTTCCCCCTTTTCTGCAGACTAATCAGCTAACAGCAAAGCTAAGCACAAAGAGTCTTTATGCAGAAGCTATTCTGACCCATCACTCATCACCTGCCAGTCAGCCCCTACAGCCCCTGATGGCTACTCTGGAGCAGAGGACACAAGAATTACTTGAAATCTCACCCATGCAGCTAGAGTTCCGGGTTCCCAAGTTCTAGAATCCATCCTTTTAGACAGAAAGGGGAATTTCTGAGCAGTGCCAGCCTTAGAATTGTCCCTCCTTTTAACAATGCCAAAGTTAAGAGTTTGGGGTTTCCAAATTGATAGAGAGGGAAGAGGAGTTATATTGGGGCTTATTCTAAGATTTCTGAGCTAACTCTGTGTGGGAGCAAAATAAGCTCAGGAGAAATGATTTTGGGAGCCTTGGGAGCCGCCCCAAGATGGAAGCCAATCAATATCATCGCTGGGCTTGGGGATGCTGAACCTCAGGTTACTTTAGGGTTGTGCAAGTCTTCTTGGCTTCAGGAGCCATGGGTCTGGGTTGTCTGCGCCAGAGGCAGAAGAAAGGAGTCACCTCCTGGAACTCCTTGGCCACAAAGTAGTAGCAGATGGCGTCCAGGCAGCAGTTGGTGTGGGCAATAAAGTTGAATATTTTGAAGACCCTTCTGATTCTGTCATTAGATCCCAGGAAGAAGTTCAGCAGGATGGTTATGTGCAAGGGTAAGAAACAAATGACAAACACGAGCAGGCTGGCCAACACCATGGACACACTCTTCCGGATCTGTCTCACCTCAGATATCTCTCTTCTCTGAACCTTCAATAGGCTGTACACAATCTGGAATGTGCAGAAGACCAGGATCCCTAGTGGGACAAAAAAGCCCAGCAGAGAGAAGACTACCACTGAGATATGCATCTCCGGCTTCCTCCAAAAGCAGAAGGCGCCGTCTTGGATCTGCCATATGACACGAAAAGCCAACATGCTAGTGACCACAGCCCAGAGGAGGGCGCAGACGATGGCTGCCCGGCCTGGGGTTCGAAGAACCTTGGCCTTCAGTGGGAACTTGATGGCTACATAGCGGTCTACCCCAATAGCCATGGGGATACTGATGCTCATGTATGCATTGACAAGATAGATTGCTTGGGGCACTTGGCAAGAGAGATCCTCAAGGCAGCTGGTGCACGTGAAGTAAATGACAATGGGGAAGAGCAGGATCAGGCCGCTGTCCGCCACAGCCAGGTTGACCATGTACACCTGCGTCTCTGTCCACTTCCTCATCCGACAGCAAAAGACCCACAGGGCCAGAATGTTGAGAATGAGCCCAACGATGAAGAGGAAGCCATAAAAACTCATGTAGATGTACGCCTCTCCTGGGGAGCTGAGTGCCAAGTTGCAGCTGTTAGACACATTCATTCATGCAGAAACCTATCCAGTGAGAGAAAAGCTCCATCATTCATTGTAATAAGAAAAATAATCATGATGGCAGTCATCTTATTCACCTCACAATAGTTCACAGAATAGTCCAAGAATAATAGCAACGCAGCAGTCTTTTCCAGGACCGTTTCAATCTGAACACCATTGAAAGGCTGAATGGAAAAACACTTAAAAGCTCCCTCCTCCTCTCCTTCCCAAGCACCTTCTCTCTGGATCCTGTTTCTCCTACCTTTGTCTCCCTCCTTCCTGGTCCCCACCCCCTGAGCCTTAGACAGTCTCAGGTAGAGGACTAAAATATCTCAATGATCCCAGGAATGCTTCCAGTTGAGAAGCTTGGGCTCACATCTGGCACTCTTTCCCCATTCAGAAAGAGAGCCAGCTAAGTGACTTATCCAGGGTTACACAGATACCGAGTGGCAGAAACAGGATTAGAACCCAGGGCTTCTGACTCCATATACTGGAGACTGGTTAATAGCTTCTAACTCTGAAGACATTTCAGAGTCTCTCTTAAATTCTGTCCCATCCTAGCTTTCTCAGGTGCTCCTTTTCCCTGAAAGGAAAGGAAGGAGGATGGGCAGGTATGCTTCTGCCATTTAGCGAAAGAAGATCCTAACTTCAGAGTCTGAGAGACAAGATGAGCCCTTGGAGGTAGGGAGCAGAGTGAGGGGGCTCTAAATCTACATTCCACTGACTGTGTGACCTGGCTAGAGGCCCACGTACCACATCTTCTGCTTCCTGTACTCCTTCCACTTTACCTCCAACTAAAATTAGGAAAAGCAATAGCAGACTCTCTCTCTCTCTTTCTCTCTCTCTCTTTTTTTTTTTTTTAGGCAACTGGGGTTAAGTGACTTGTCTAGGGTCACACAGCTAGTAAGTATCATGTTTGGTCTGAGGCCGGATTTGAACTCAGGTCCTCCTGACTTCAGGGCCGGTGCTCTATCCACTGCGCCACCTAGCTGCTCCCATGGACTCTCTTTACTGCCCTCCCCTCTGCCCACTTTCCCTTTGGGGAATTCGTGCAGTACCCAAACCATGAGAAAGCAGGTATTAACTCACCAAGGGTTTGACTATGGGAGTCCTGAGGGAGGGAGGGCCACCGGTCAGGAGGTGAAGGGGATGATTCAGAGGACAGCTGTTCTCACACAGGTAACTGGACCCTCAGCAATGACTGGAGCCAGAAGAAAATGGGCCACCAGCTTATTGCCAAAGCCTGGGCTCTTGGCTCCTGCAAGGGCTGGTGGGAGTGGCTTCCTCTGTGTTGGCTGTGAGATCATTGGTGACCTGGCAGATGCGTGACAGAAAAGCCTCAGAGAAGCGTCTCTTGCTGTTACTTCCACCAGCGATCCGGGTACTCGCTCCTGGTGACAGGAAAGGCAGAAGGGCCCCTGCTGAGTGACAGAGCCTGGCTGTTTATCAAACTGTCAGAGCCAGGGAGGAGAAGCCCTCAGTCAGGCTGCAGGAATGGAGGAGAGTATGTGATGATTGATCTTGTAAATTTGGTCTGTGGTCTTCAAGGTTTGGACCAGCCCTCCCTGACAGATCAGACGCCCTCTGCTGCCTGTGACCAGATGTGGCCAGAGGCAAGAACCTAGGCAATTCAATGATCATTTATTATAAAATAAGTTGTTTGCATTTATTCTGCATGTGCTTATATGCGGGCAGGTCACCTCGCCCAATAGATTAGTTTCTCAAGGGGAGGAGATGGTTCGTTTTTGTCCTTGTATCCCCAGGGCCTGGCATGCAACAAGGGCTTAATAAATGCTTGCTGATTGAATCATAGGTCTAGAGACGGAAGGGACCTCAGAGGTCATGCAGCCCACCCCTTCCATCTTACAGATGAAGACAGTGACACCTTGGAGGTGAGCTACCTTGCCCAGGATTGCATAGGTAAGATCAGCAGAGCAAATATTCAGACTCAGGTCCTGTGACCTCACAGGTTGATATTCTGGCGACCTCTGGTGACAAGGCAAGAAAAAAAAAAGTGGTTCTGCCACACTGAGCTAACCATCCAAAATCACAGTGGAGGAGGAAAGAGGGAAGACCCCCAATTCCCTGAGTGATTTTCTATCACGTTCCCTCTGTCCCTGATGCTTGAAAATATTTCTGTCAAAACTTTATAGGATCATAGATCTGAAAGGGGTCTTAGAGGTCATCTAGCCCAATCACCTCATTTTATAAGTAAGGAAATAGAAAGCTCAGAAAGGCCACACGAGGTAGTAAATGGAAGTGGAAGGATTTGAACTCAGGTCCCTCTGAATCCAAGACCACTGCTCTATGTTGCTTGGTCGCACTTTTCTCAGTGTGGGATGGAGCCTTGCATAGGTTGTGGGAGTTCCACAATCCACTTGAGAGTACAGTGTGTGAGCCTTTGTTGGCTTACAGCATCTTCCATGGAGCTGTCCATGCTCTTTTGTCCTCTTGGCAAGGCACATGCACCAGTTGAGAGGACACTGTGAGCTCCCTTGATGGGTTCCTGGTGGCTGGAGTAATCTTATGATGATTAGTTGACTGGGTTAATAAACCAGACTTTTTGGAAGCACCTTCCCCTCTGTAGCCTCTAATAGATCTGAGCAGAAACAGCTCCTTCCATCTCTTTTGGACACTTCTCAAGTACCCTCTCTTCCTTGCAGTTCCTGACAGAGGAAGGTAAGGTGGGGAAGACCAGCAGAAGCACATGGCCATGGGAAGCAAGTGCTAATCCGCAGCCCGGGGCTAGAAGTTCCTAGAGTTCTCAATTTCTGGTGCCTTTTTTCTGCCTTTTTATTTCCTTTTCTGGGCACACGTCAGTAATTAACGATCCTGAGAAGTGGCTGCCTTTGGCTTTAATTGTTACCTCACATATTCTGAGTTTCTGAATTTGGGATTTGGGCATCTACTGACCAAAGGGAGGAGATTTCTGTAACAGCACAATTTTCAAAGCCCATCACCATTGGGATCCTCCTCTGCCTAAAGGACTAAAGTCAGCCACGGTCCTGGCTGATCAGGAGATCGAGGGAGGATTCCCTCTCTTTCCCTCCACCCTCACTAAGCCTCTTTCCCCCAAATAGCCCTACCAGCAATTCCTAAAAATCCCCCATCAAAACTTCATAGGATAAAAGATTTAGAACCAAAAGAAGACTTAATTTTTTTATTTTTTTGCAATAATGTAAAACATTTCTGTATTAGTTATTTTTTACAAGAAGACTCAAATAAAAGAAAAAAATGAAAGTGAAAACTAGCATGATTCAGTCTGTATTCAATCAATATCAGTTCTTTTTGTGGAGGTGGATAGGATGCTTCCTCATGAGTCCTTTGGGATTATCCTGGGTCATTGTATTGCCGAGAATAGCTAAGTCATTCACAATTCTTCATTGAACAATGTTGCTGTTACTGTGTACAATGTTGTCCTGGTTCTGTTCACTTCATCATGCATCAGTTCATGTAAGTCTTTCCAGGTATTTCTGAAATCACACTGCTTGTCATTTCTTATAGCACAGTAATATTCCATCGCAATAATATACCACAGATTGTTTAGCTATTTCCCAATTGATGTGCAGCCCTTCGATTTCCAATTCTTAGCCACCACAAAAAGAGCTGCTACAAATAGGTACTTTTTCCTTTTTTGGTTGTCTTTAGGATGTAGACCTAGCAGTGATGTTGTTGGATCAAGAGATATACACAGTTTCATAGCCCTTTGTGCATAGCTCCAAATTGCTCTACAGAATGGCTGGATCAGTTCACAACTCCGCCAATAATGCATTAGCATCCAAGTTTTCCCATATCCTCTCCAACATCCAACATTTTCCTTTTTTGTCCCATTAGCCATTCTGATAGGTGTGAGGTGGTACCTCAGAGTTGTTTTAATTTGCATTTTTCTGATCAATAGTGATTTAGAGCATTTTTCATATTACTATAGATAGCTTTGATTTCTCTGTCTGCAAACTGCCTGTTCACTTCCTTTAATCATTTAGCAATTGGGGGATGATTTGCATTTTCATAAATTTGACTCAGTTCTCTACATATTTGGGAAATGAGGCCCTTATCAGAGATCCTTGTTGAAAAATTTCCCCCACTTTTCTGCTTTCCTTATAATTTTGGTTGCATGGCTTTGTTTGTGAAAAAATCCTTTCATTTTATATAATCAAAATTATCTATTTTACATTTTGTAATGCTCTCTATATCTTCTTTAGTCCAAAATTCTTCCCTTATCCATAAATTTGACAGATAAGCTTTTCAAAAGAGGACTTTATGGGGCAGCTAGATGGTGCAGTGGATAGAGCACCAGCCCAGTAGTCAGGAGGACCTGAGTTCAAATCTGGCCTCAGATACTTACTAGATGTGTGACCCTGGGCAAGTTACTTCACTCCAATTGCCTTAAAAAAAAAAAAGAAGAAAGAAATGGTGAGCAGGATGCTCTCAGAAAAACCTAGAAAGACTTACATGAGCTGATGCAAAATGAAAAGTACTGTGTGCAAAGTAAAAGCAATATTGTGCAATGATCAGCTGTGAATGATTTTGGGGCAGCTAGGTGGCACAGTGGATAGAGCACTGGCCCTGAAGTCAGGAGGACCTGAGTTCAAATCCGGCCTCAGACCAAACACTTGACACTTACTAGCTGTGTGACTCTGGGTAAGTCACTTAACCCCAATTGCCTAAAAATAAAAAATAAAAAATAATTTTTTTTAAAAAAGAGGACTTCGTAGGTTATCTAAACCAATCCATTCTCCTTTTACAGATGAGTAAACTGAGGCCTAAAGAAGTCAAGGGAATTGCTGCACGTCATACAGCTAAGACAGCCTAAACTTCAGACAGTATAGGTCTAAGATAAATGCAAAATATTGATTCAGGAATCTCAAGAAGATTGAGTTTCTGGGCATAATGTTATATGTTTCCTGTATTTATTCACCCTTGTGAGTCCTTTGCATCTTATACAGTTTTTGTGGTACAGGAAACAAACAGCTGTTCTATGCATGATGCCCACATTGTACACCAAGTCCCTTTTCTAGAAGGGAGTTTCTTATCCTCATTTTGGGTAGACTTTAGACATGAGCTATCCAGAAGATCAGTTTTTAGAGATCTCCCTAGAGGGATCCAGGCAGGGTAGAGGCAAAGAGAGAAGCTGACCGTCTAAGGACAGGATGCAGTCCAGTCCATATGAGCCCACCCCTCTCTTGATGGTTTCCCCCGGGCTATTGGTGATAACCTGGAGGCTTGTCCAGGATGTGCAGGTGTATTTCTAATACCAACCAAGTACTTGCTTAGTCTCTTTTTGGGAGCCCCAACGAGGCTGCTTGTTCTAGCATGGGCTGAATTCAGACTGCCATTTGGAACACCCTACATTTTACTGGGATCCACTGAGGAAATTTTAGGCTGCCTCTGACATGTACTGACTGGGCAAGTCACTCACCAGCTTCTTGGCCAGGCATCCGTCGGAGACTGTAAGGTGAAGAAAAGTCTGACCTGCGTTGGTGGAGGGAGCTTTCTCACCTGGAAGTTCTCGATACCAGTGACAAATCCTAGTTCTAATCCCTGTTTCTATCCTTGTGTGCTTCAGAGGCCCAGCGGAGAGGTTTCTCCCCTGGACCTGAGTTGTCTTATGCCTTCATAGGGGTCTGCTGGAGGAATCTCCCATTCAGACAGAACAGACCAGCTCGAGCGCGCCCTCAGACACTCGGCATCTCAGTTAGGCTTACTTAACCGACCTGCGTTTGGCGCCTGCCTTTGACACTTCCTAGATGTATGGCCCTGGGCAAGTCACTAGACCTCCATGGACCTCAGCTTCTTCATCTGTAAAATGAGGATAATGATAGCACCTCCTCCCCAGGGCCACTGTGAGGATCAGACAAGGGGATGTCTGTAATGCTTTGCGGAAATCTCAGTTCGGATTGTCCATATTATTACATAATTCCCAATGTCTTGGCCAGGCCAATTAGATAAACTTTCCCAATTCACAGTGATTCTCAGAAGAGGAACAGAGGATTTCCCCTCTCTCTTCTCTCCCTGCCCCCACCCAAGACTCCTGCTTTGCCAGTAAAGACTGATCCAGCCATCAACACTTCATAGAATAATAGATTTAGTGGTCATCTGGTCCAAACCCTTCTCCTTGTACAGATCAGGAAACCTAATCCCAGAGGAGTCAGGTGGTTTGCTGAATGTCACACAGATAAAACAGCCTAAACTCAAGGCTCTGTCCATGGTAGCTCACAGCCCTGTTCATTTGGATTCCACATTACTCTCCAGGCTATATTTAAAATAGACCCTGGGGAGAGCAAAGCATTCTGTCACAGAATCTCTCAGAATTCTGGAGCACCAGAGCTGGGAAGGACCTCGGAGATTCTTAAGTCCAGCCCTCCTGTTTTCCTGATGAGCAAGCTGTGGCCTCAAAAAGGGAAGTAATTTGCCCAATGCCGCACAGCTAGGAAGTGTCGGAGGAAGAGCCAAACCTAGCTTTCTCCTGCTCCCAGGGCCAGACTCTTTCCACTAGACATGGGCTATTCCAAAAAGGGTGTCTGAGTTCACCCCACACTAGAACAAGCAACCTAGTTCAGAAAGAAGTGGAACAACCTAAGATGAGTCCCAAATGTGTGTACAGCTCCCCAAAAGGGATTAAGCACTAAGGGGGTGGGAACGCCACCCCTCACATCCTGGACAAGCCTCTAAGATGTCACCACTGGCTGAGGGGACCCCGTGAAGGGAGGGCCTGGCCTCAATGAGCTGGGTTCTATCTTGAGGGCCCTGCCCTTAGGGAATCGGGTGGTAAGCAGAGATAGTCCTTTTATGCCAAATTCTGAAAATTTCCTCGTGTGCCCTTAACTGGAACGCAATGCTGGGGAACTCTCTGAGGCTGCCTCCACTTTTCCTCCCTTAGGGATGCCTGGGAGGTCAGTGCCTGGGCTGCCTCGAGTCTGACTCTGGAGGAACTTGGGCATGCCTAAGAACACCCCTACTTCTTCCTGGAACTCCTGGGCCACAAAGTAATAGCCTAAGGCGTCCAAGCAGCAGTTGGCATTGGCAAGGCGGGAGGCCACCCTGACAGAAATGACCACGTGCTGAACCACAGAGCAGGGGGGCTCCACATACTCAGTCATGAGCTTGGCCAATAGAGCCACATGCTGGGGGAGGAAGCAGACCAGGAAGATGACCAGATTAGCTGAAACCACGCAGAGGGCTTTGTGGATCAGCCTCCTGTCCTGGGCTTGCGCCTGTGCCTTTTTCCTGACCAGATTCTGGAGGATCCGCACGGAACAGAAAACAAGGACCACAAGAGGGATGACGAACAGGAGCAAGGAGAAAACGATGACCGAGGAGCCCCGAGTCTGGCTATTCCCGAAGCAGAAGTTCTGGCCATCTCGCTTCCAGACAGCAGGTAGAGAAACCAGGCAGATGACCAGCAGCCAGAGGAGAGCACAGGTCCCAGCAGCCTGCCGGGGGGAGCGCCACATCCTGGCCCGCAGAGGATACTGGATGGCAGCGAAGCGATCCACAGCGATGGCGGTGATGACGTACATGCTCATGTAACCATTGATGAGGTAAATGCTCTGGGACACTGTGCAGAGCAAGTCCTCCGAGTGGTCCCTGACTGTCGTGTACAAGACCATGGGGATGCTCAGGAGCAAGCAGCAGTCTGCCATGGCCAGGTTGGCCATGTACACCCGCGTCTCCGTCCACCTCCTCATCCGGCACCAGAACACCCACAGGGCCAGGGCGTTGAGGACAGTCCCCAAGACCAGGATGATGGACAGGTACAGAATGGTGACCTTCTGGGAGAAGTCACTCGTCACAGTACTGCAGTTGAGCGGATTCATCTGGACAGCCAAGGACTCAAACCCCACGATAACAAGGCAGAAGAGATCCCTGTGTGAGTGAGGACATGAGAAGGCTGTTATGGAGGGAGCACCAAGGGGTAGAATGAGTCAGGAGGCTTGATGCTGCCACTAACTCTGTGTGTGTGTGTGTATCTGTGTGTACACATGTGCACATGCATGTAAGAGAGGCACACACCACAGAGACAGAGAGAGACAGAGACAGAGAAACACAGAGACACACAG